GTTTTTCCGTCTACCCGTCTGTCTACTTGTTCACCTGACTATTTGCATCTTGTCCCCCCCCTCCTCTTTTTATACTTTGTTTGTATGAGTGTGTGTATCCCGGCCTGACCTTTTATACACTTTGTCAGTAGCAGTATACTGTACCTTTTCCTTGCAGCAGAGCTACTTAACTTTGCTTATAGTTTCATAAAGAATTTAACGGCGCTCGCAACTGTAAAAGGTCAAATGAGCGCCACTAGTAAGACGCTACATCCGAATTACAAAGTTCTATCTGACATTTTTGGCCATTTGGAGTTACTATAACCATGAGGTCAGAAGCCAAACTTTCTATCTGCTCTATCAAAACCGTAAGATTATTCGGAGTTGTTATGAAGATATTCAAAGAAGTACATTCGAAACAGCTTGTCATGACATTCAGCTCAAAATCTTTGACGTCAGATTTCTCAAAGCTAGGTATTGTTCAGATAGAACTTAATAATTCTGAGGTAGCGAAGAGTTTTGCGGAGGTAACATGAGCAGAACTACTGACCTTGAACTTCCCCACGATCCTGTTCTCATCCGGTTCGTCATTTCCGGTGTTTTTTCCACGGTACAGCTCAAAGGTGTGGAGCCAGTCTCTGAACCCGTCATACTGGGGCTGCACTTCCAGTTCTGTTGGGTGCACCTGTTTATTTGTTTGTTTGTTTGTTTTTTGTTTTTGGATTTTTTAAGAGAGAGAAAGAGAGAGTGTGAACGTACAAAACGAACTTAGCAGGATGTATTTGAAATATTAAAAAAGGCAAACTGATGAATAAGCCAAAGAATGGACTGAAGAATAAAGCAATAGTATTCTGTTTTGACGTCAAATAAAAGGAAACACAAACATAATATGAATTAAAGAGAAGTTTACTAACAGCGTTTAGTGTTCATTAGAAAAAGAATGAAACACCGACGGAAAAAAAGGGATGGCAAAGAACTGATGCAGTTTCTCATAAGCACTTCTTGAAGAAAAGAAAGAACAAAGAAGCAACTAATAACTTAATAAAAGTTAAGATGTGGCTGTACAGAGAAAGAGACCGGGAGACGAACAGACAGAAAATACTTCAACAAGGTCTACAAGAGATCAAAAGCGCAAACTCAGGGTGTTCATTACATAAAATGTTGTAACAATATTTCTAAAGCTCTAAAAAGCAAACTGTGAATGCTGTAAATCCTACGAATTTGGGGTGTGTTAAAAATTAGCTTTTTACCAGCTTGATTTCATAAAAAGTACTTTATATTTGCCTTACCTTTTGAGGGCTGGGTAAATTAATAACGCTACATCCTTGAGACATGACAAAAAATAAACTTTTACAGTAAAGGTTAGTGTTAACTCTAACAACAACAACCACAAAACAACAACAATAACAACAACAACAACAACAACAACAATAACAACAACAACAACAACAACAACAACAACAGCAGCAGCAACAACAACAACAACAATCACCCCCTTCAACCACCGTATCACCACCAACAAAAATTACTGTCTAGCATAAAAAACTAAGAACCTAGGAGAATATCTAGTGAGCTAAACTTTATCGTACTTTTTTCCTTTATAGAAGTATAAATTAGTTTTGGGTAATGACAATATGCAAGAAAAAAGATACTTTACTACTGGATGATAAGTTAAAAAAAAAAAATCTCAACAAAGGCACTCAGGTGTAGAAGCAATTAAACAAGGCTAAGGAAAAAATGCAAAAGAAGACGCATATTTTACTTGTAAATTACAAAAAGAAGAATAAATCGCGAAAAAAAATTAAAAAATGAAGGACCTAAGAGTTCGGTTAGGGAATATAAAAATAAAGAGCCCCCCCCCCCCCCCCCCTTCTCCCATCCTTTTTTTTCTTTCAGTCCCTCGCTCCTTTTTTTCTTTTTAAAGGTCAGCAAACTAAAATTCATGCATGCACATTCCAGAGAGAAACGAGAAACAAAATAGTAAAAACAAAATCTGTTTTCCTTTGATTTTTGTTCCTGTTTTGGTTTCACTATAATGAATGTTATTTTGAAATGCAAAAAAGGGAATTAACTATGTTGCGACTGTTGCAATAGCAATTCTTTGATATCACGATTATTTCCCCTCCTTGACACGTCTCGTTTTGGATTCGAGATCTCATTGTAAAAGAAAAACAACAAACCAGTTTTCCGGCACGTAGGCCACACAACAGGTTGTTGTTTGGGTCTTTTTACGAGTTTCAATCTTTTTATAATGTGATACAATAATATGCAGCCGTTACATAATTTACTATTCTCCCTTTTGTTTCGGATCTCATTTCATTAAAGGAAGTCTTACATTTATAATGTTTTAAAAAAAAGAGAGCAAGTCATTGCTAGAAAGCTTTCGCAGCTGACAAACCCCAAATCAACACAAAATATAAAAAGCTGAAGCAATTATAGTTACAGATGCGACAACAACAATTGATATAGATGACTGGGTTAGAGTATACAGGTTTTTAGGTTTTTTTTCTTTTGTTTTGTTTAATAATGATTTCCAAATGTCAGCTCCCAATTGACAGCGTGTTTCTACATTATGTGTTTGTAAACGCACTATATTTTTATCCCTAGAATTTGCTTAATGAATTAAATTTAAAAAACACCCCACCCAACTAAATGTGATGAAACTTGGAAAAAGAGCAAAAGAGTAAATTTCAACGGTTGATGAATGTTTCAAGGAGATGAACTTCAACTAGCCACATGCCAGCACCCAATGTATGCTAAAAATAGCCGTAAAGTGGTTGCAGTCATAAGAGGGGGCATGATCATATCGGCAAACCAGAGAAAAGTATAGTGATTGAATAATTCCATGTCTATGCACATTTATTTCAGTTCTATCGAAAATCAGAAGCAAAAAAACTAGGAACAAGAAAGAGGAGGAGGGCGAAGGGCTTTTTTATTTGAGGAGGAAGGGAGGCGGGTGGTGGGCTTTTTTTGAGAGGGAGGGGGATGAGTGGTGGGCGTGGAGTGGGTGGGTGTTGTAGGAGATCCATTCTCATGCTTTGTTTAGTTTGTCTGTGGATCAGATGTGTTATTGCTAATTTTTTTCATTTTCGTCATCAAGATGCTCCGAGACCCGCATCATGCCAGAGTAGTTACCACGAGGAACGACTTGACACGTGAGTGCACCGACTCATCCTGCACGTCCATGGAAGGAGGTTTGTGCCTCATTCTTTCCACCAAACTTTTCCTCGTCTGTAGAAAGGACGGGGGTTTGAGTATGATCGGGCGTGGTTGAAGGGCGCTCCGGTACGGTTTGCCCCTTCTTTCCTATCAAACATCTATCGTCCTGAAGGGGTTTTGAAGGCCCTTATTAGTTTTTTTTGGCTCCTGTTTGCTTTAGTAAGTGTTTTACGGCACTTGCAACACAATAAGATGTTTAAGTGCCAAAGATTTGAGGTGTCGCAAGAGAGTAACAAACACAAAATAAAATTAAAGCCTTCTTTTTTGTGTTTGTTGCTCTCTTGTAACACCTCTAATCTTTGGCATTGATATGACCTTATTGTGTTGAAAGTGTTGTAAAACTCTTACAAAACAAATCTCGATAAACCTTTCATGTCCCTCAGAAAAAAGAGTCGCCCCTTCGAGTTTGTTTCTATTTCTACACAAATAGGTCAGTTCAATTATTGGTTGTAGCGTCCATCTCTAACCGCTCCATCGGTACGAGTTAGTTTATTTGTGTCACGGCGTGGTGGAATCAGGCACTGGTCAATATTTGGGCATATGGGATTATTTTTATCATTCTAAAGCTTGTTCATGTATGTGCCTCCCTTTTGGTAAAATAAGATCCATCTATGTAAAATAGAAATTGAAATATTTGCGTTTGAAGTAGGTCAGGGTTGCTTGTTTTCAGAGGTAAAATTAGCGAGAAAATGGCCGCCTAAGTTTGGTAACTTCCATATCCTCAGAGTCCTTTGAAACTGAAAATTTACGTTTTTTATGCCTTTAATCAATGTTTTTGAGTAAAATCCACACAGAGATGTGTTTTAAAATGGACACAAAAGGTGTCGAGTCAAAAGAAGAAAATTAGAAAATTGGCCAAAAAATGCCGATTTCTGTGATTTCATTATTGTGACGAGCGCCTGATTTCCTCACGATGCCTCACATTTAGTAGGCAGAAGCTTGAAAGCCACCGCTCAGGCCAATCTGTGGTTGGTTGGTTGAAGTTCTGGAGTGGTTTTCTCCTTTTCTATCAAACATCTTTTGTCCTTTTATCCATCTTTTTGTGTTTGTTACTCTCTTGTAACACCTCTAATCTTCGGCACTTAAATGACCTTACTGTGTTGCAAGTGCCGTAAAACACTCTGAAACAAACACGAATCAATCTGGACTAAAAGGAATATAATCCGTCATCAGTATTACGAACATAATCGATACAATTATAGACTTACACCTGCCAAAATGCAACTCGTGTCTTTTTCTACGTACGACAGCGAAACGCCTCCTAAACATAACACAACCGACGTCGGTCGTACCAGAGAGGGTTTACAGTAACATTGTATTACTGTAAAACTTTCTGGTCGTACATCAAGGGTTTTCAGAGCTGTACAGTCTACCAGGAAGTTTTTGTCTTTCATTTTACCTGATCGTGATCCTGGCTATAATAGTGTCGTTGTTGTTTTCTTGTTTGTTTGTTTGTTTGTGATTTTGTAAGAGTTTGTCGAGTTACTAAACGTAGAAATACATTTTATGGGAGATTCGAAAAAACCCCCACCCAAACAAAACAAAATCAACAACATCAAAAAAACCCCCACAAGAAATAAAAAGGAGGGGTGGGAGTGTGTTAATCTTTCGTTTAAAAGCTCATTCATAAAATACTCTACAGGGGCCAAAAAAGCCAGAAAAGAAGCAATAGGTTCTGTAAAGTTTATACGAGAGGCAGCAGCTGAAGCGTTTTGCTTTCTGGTTTTCGGAAGCGAGAAATAAAAACAAAAACTATAATACATAAACTAGATTAAAAAAATAGCATAAATTTATATTATTATGTGGAACAGATTAGATGCCGTGGTACATTATCATAGGGGTTATAGACATGTAGAGTTTAAAATACGATATAAAATATAAAAAGGATTGAAATACATTTTGAATGTAAATAAATCTGAGGTGCAATAGACTATGATAAATTGTTTCTATAACTAATAAATAGATAACTATTATTATTACAATATGTAGACATGGAAAAGGATATTTGTGGCCTATATCCCGTCGTTTTTGAAAAAAACAACCAAAACATATATTATGGTAAAATACTCTGTGGTAAATTGAGAAATAGTAGTAAGAGATGTAATAGAAGTGAGGGTATCATAGATTAGAACTTCTGACAAAATGGCCACCACCATTAGTAGTACAGTAGTTGTAGTAATAGTAAGTAGTAGCAGTAAAGATTCGTCAAATATACAACAAATGTTTCCGCGTGCGATCCCGCGAATTGCAGAGAAGCGAGAAAAAGATGCACGAGGTATATCCGTGTTCTGACGAATTACCACAAAGGTCTCCGCTTTGAATCCGTCGTCCTCAGGTTTACGATTCCATGTAACCAGTTTTTTGAAAAAATTCTGGTGATTCAGAAGATTGTGGTTTTATCTCCTTTTCAAATGGACTTGTCATAAAACTGTGGTTGATGGTGGCACCCCCCCCCCTTTAAAAAAAAAATGTTCTTCCAGAACATATAAAAGCAGAGAAAAAATACCAAGGAAAAAACCCCGGAAGAGGAAGACAAATTGCGTAATGCCAACAACAGTCTTTTCATATTTCGTTTTAATTGTTGTTGTGTTTATTGTAAAACTTTTACACCCCCACCATAGGTATAATTCTACCTCATTCTGCAAGAACGCTTGTCGGTGCGAACCCAGGTTGTATAATGTACATCGCTTTAAAAAAAGCAGAGAAGTAATTCATTCTGTCATTCTGCATGTTGGAATCGAACTTGGGTCTCTTGCATGAAAAGCCAACAGCATAGCCATTCTCCTTACTAGAAAAATAAATTCGTTCCAAAGGCGCAATGTGGGATTCCAAGAAGAGAGAGTTGAAGGAGGAAAAAGAGTGGAAGAAAAGGGGAGAAAAGAAGAAAAAAAAAGGAATCACAAAGGTAGTCACTAAATGAGTCAATTATTCTGAAAGGCTTAGCCACAAAAGTTACACTTCAGAAGGAGGGTTTAAACCGTCTGTTAATATTCAAGTGTCTATTCATTGTCACTACAGACCGACTAGGGTTAGGGTGCAGAGGAAATCGGGGGTCAGGGAGTGGTAGATATCTATATAGAGAGACAGGCGAAAAAAATAATGTGGTAAACAAAGTAAGTAGAGAAGATATTTCTGTCTCATGTTATCTCAGCAATAGCTAGACTAAAACAGAGTAGCTTCAAATTCATTACTGAAGTTATTACAACACAAACAAGAAAACTGAATCGGTTCGGAAATAAAAAGGAACCTTTCCCACAAAAATAATATGGACACCTCGGAAACCAAGGGAAATAACACAATAGTCTTACAGCTACATCCGATTGCTAGGGTTATGTCCCTTAGCTGTAGGAAAGTCGCTGTTTCAGGGTTATCATCGGGATTCTAGAATATTATGCACAACACGCGGGCCAGCGGAAGACAAAGAGTAGCAAGGATGGAAAACATAAAAACATGACAATGTACTGTTCTGGATATAGCAGAACGCGCAATGGCAGCTCGCGACCGTGAAGGATTAAGGAAAGTTACACGTCAACCTCTGAGTCAGAGATGACAACTCCAGATGGATACAAAAAAAATATTATCTGAAGGGCAAACAATATAGCTATAAATGTTTTATGCCTCTATCAATACAATTCAGATAATTCAGGAGGCGGGTTGCGACAAGACCAACCCAGGCTGGGAAGGACACAAACGTCCCAGCAGAAATGCTGAGATACTCATTCAAAACTATCCACATACGAGATTCGAACTCACACCTTTAGTGCGCTACGGCTAAGCGTTTTATCGGTACACCACAGATCCTGGTCTGTCTGTAGGGTGAGTAAGCTTACAAGCCTGGGTATATAAAATATTACGCACAAGGGTATGACTCATATCGATAGAGTTTATACTGTCATAATTGTACTATGTTTATTGATATTAACATTATTTCTACATCTCCTTCCTCGTATGGTTTTCGTGTTGACTTTTGTGAAAGCAAAATAGGTCCTCTCTCTGCCATACCCATTTCAAAACAGGCCTTTTATACCCTATATTTATCGCATAATTCTAAATGTTGTACTCTTATATCAATTACTTGTTGGGATTGGAAACAAACGAAACGTTCCAAGACTAGAATTTCGGCAAAAAAGAACAAATAAATAAAGCTAGCTTAAAGTCATTTCTCTAAGTGCAAACTACTTAAGGCTGAGAACAGAAACAGTGGATAAAGAAACATAGTAACTTAAACATCCACACAATATGCATAACATTTATTATAACACATTTAGAATAAAAAGGGCTTTTTTGTTTTGTTCATAAATGATTTTTAAAAAGGGAGAGGGGGGGGGGGGGTAGTTAATCACTTAGGGTTATCTCGGTATCGTTCAGTTTTGCCATATCTGGTATTTACACTTTTTTCCTTAGAGATACGAAGTATACGTTGGTGTGAACTGATGTATAAACTCATATCTTAAGTATTACCTCTTCTCTAGAAAGAAACTACTTGTAATTAGACAGTGAAAGATCTTGTCAGTTCGTTAGTAATTGAGAACTTAATCAGCTGCTTGCACTGCATGCTTCACGGGAAGTTGAGAATGTTTCTGAGTGTTCTATGGTCTGCATGGGTAATAATATAGTATGAAGCCCATAGAGCTTGCTTTCGAGTGGGGACATGCGCTATACAAATGCTATTTATTATTATTATAATTGACAACAATTTTTTAAAATGCTGATGGAAGCGTTTTTTATTAACTGTTAGTCTAGTGTTTGAGACGATAACAGGGCGATTCCCAACAAAATAATATAGCAGTATTTCACTTAAGTTCAGATGTTTACTTTTAAGAAAATTAATTATTCAATGAGAGAAGAACATTTCCGCGTTTCACTAGACTTCTCACTGGAAATAGTACTCGCCATGAGAACATGGCTCAGTATTAAAATTAAGGATATTTTTAGTTAGATTGCAGCATTCGGCAGGTTAGAAGAAAAAAACCTCACAGAAATGATTAACAGAAGGGCACTACAAAAGTATGCCTAAACATAACCTTCCAGTGCCAGCCAATTTTGTGCACCCCCTAACCCCAACCTCAGCCATTAAAGCAGTATTTCGGAAAAAGAGGCATGATTTCTAACAGGTGATATAGTATCTTTGTAATGAGGTTTAAATAGTAACACTTAACAATGTTTAAAGGTAAATGAACAAATATTATGAAAAAATAGGCCAAATAGGATTGCTAATCCCGAAAAATGTGCAAATTCTTCGGCACCCCTCTCCCAATTAAAAAACAACAACAACCGTAATTAATATATGCTCTTGGAACTGTGGGAGGTACAAGCACTACTGAACATATACGCACATAAGGGTTAATAAGGGCACATTGAATTAGTTTGAAGTATATTAATGGGTTAAGGAAGACATCACATAGGTAGTTACATTTAGGTACAACGTTTTTTATAGTTTTTTTTACCAAAAAAAAATTGAAATAATTATTCAGAACCGTTCCAAATCTTACCTTGAGTTGTGACGTTGAACTAAGTAGTTTTTCCCTTTTCCTCTGAGCCTTTGGAGACAGCTGCTTTGCCAGGCCTACCGTCTTGGCAGTGCTCTTGAACGTTGCCTTTCTGTCCCTCTCTTGCTGCTTTTTGGCTTCTTTTTCCAACCTCTTGGCCTGTTTGATTTCCACCTCTGGAAACGGAGGGGATATTAACATTCTTGTGTCCGGAACTGCATTTTATGACATCTTTTTAGTGTTATTAGTGTTTTGACGGCGCTCGCAATCGCAAAAGGTCATATGAGCGCCAGAAGATTAGAGGTGTTACAAGAGAGTAACAAACATAGAAAAAGAAGAAGGGGAGATAAGGACGGTAGATGTTTGATAGGAAAGAAGAAGCAAACCACACCAGAGCATCCGCCAACCACCCACACGACATCTTTATTATTTTTTTCACATCTTTTGAAGGGGGCCCTCGAGTCCTATGCTCCATCTTTTCGCCCACCCATTCATTGTAACTTTCTTATCACTGCACGCTATCCATCCACCAATCCATTCATGTTATTCCCTCCCTCCCTCCATCAATCCCTCCATCCATCCATCCATCCGTCCATCCATTCATCCATCCACCCATCCATCCACCCATTCTTCCATCCATCCATCCATCCATCCATCCATCCATCCATCCATCCATCCATCCATCCATCCAGCCATCCATCCATCCGTCTATAATGATAACAACAACAATATCACTAACAATAGCACCACCACCTCCACCAACTACAACAGCAACAACAACAACCACAATAACAACAACAACAATAATATTAATGACAAATAATAATATTATTAATAACAATCATCATCATCATCATCATCATCATCATCATCATCATCATCATCATCATCAT